TATTTAGCCACTGAATTTCGATTAAATATGCGACAGCCGTTGCAGCGATGTTGCAGTCTGACGCACGCAGCGTGCCGTCGCTCCGTCTCTCTCGCACCTACAGAACATGCCGAGGCAGAGAGCGCCTGAGGCGTAGGCAGCCCGCCGCGGCGGCGCGCGCGAAGACGGACCGGCTGCCTACCGCGCAGGCGCTAGACCCGAAGCAGAGCCATTTCCGGACAGCCTTTCGCGCCGTCGACTGATCAACTCGCACCAGCGAGCTCCAAAAGTGCATCAGCGAGGCAAAGGCCGACGCGGTCCACCGCGTGGCGGTACTCAACTTGATGAGGAGCTTGTCGATCTGACGACTCCATTCGGCGAGCGGACGGACGGGCAGACAGACAGACAGACAGATAGATAGACAGACATGCGCCAATCCAGCGTGCCGTGGCCGTGGTAACTTTGCACAGCCGAGCCCAACGAGTCCCGCATGACTAGGGCGACGAGTGGATGGGGACGAACGGCGGAAAATTTTTGGCGGGAGAACAAAATGAAATTCTCGTTTCGACCAGGGGCTTACGCTCTGGTTCACGCATACGCGTGCCGTATCCAAACCAAAACCACCGACTAGTCCGGGGAGCAACGCGCGCGCGGGCGACTTTTGGACGGCGTAGTGTGATAAAAAGCCGAATCCGATATCGCTCTCTCTGTCGGCGTGCGCACTGCAACAACGCGGTTAGTCACACCAGCTGGCGACGCCGCGAGACGACACAGCAGTGCCGCCAACAGTGCGACGGACGCACGTCACGGGGGGATGCGCCGCGCTTCGCGCACGGTGTGGTGCAGGCCGGCAGAGGCGCACGGTGTGGTGCACGGTGTGGTGCACAATACAATGCAGCCACTATTCAGACCGAGGCCGCCATTTCAGATTAGGACGCGGAGATGGTATCGCCTGCTAATCCCAGCACACGAGTACGCCAAGCCAGCGCGAAAAAAAAGACAAAAATTTATCTTCCAAAGAACGTCAATGAAAGCAGATGATACTTTCGCCAGTGGTTTTACCAAATTAACAAAAATAAACTAAGCCTCACCACAGCAATTCGCCGCCGGGTTCGCGGACCGGCGCGTGCTTGACCGAACGGCCGCCCCGCCCCGCCCCGCCCCGCCAGACCAGCACGCCACCACGCGACTCTTCGCGGCTTGGCGGCTTCGCGCTGGGCGCCAAGGAGCGAAGGAGCTAGCCGCCTTTCCCTAAACAACGCCCCACCGATCGATGGCTGGCTCGGCTGGCTCACGAGCCCTGACTAGGGCCCTGACTAGGGCATGCCCTGCCAAGGCCGCGACGCCGCAGCCAAGGCCGTGGGGCAGGCCAGGGGCCAGGCCAAGGGCCAAGGGCTTGCCGCCTCGCTCGCCGCCCTAGGGACCCAAGGGCCGCGCCACATGCAACAAGGGCACCAGTCTCCCCGCATTTTCATTTACAACCAAAACTCAATTTAAACGAGGTAGACGAGGAGGCACAAGCAGTTGCTGCAATAATTTGATTCGCGCGCTTTTTCTAGTATACGTACTTTGCTCCTTTCCAACTGATTTTAAAACCTCCGCGAGGTTCATGGCATGACTTGCCGCATCCCACCGAAAGAAGCGAAACCCTGCAGAGAGTGACTCTGCCGCACTGCCAAATCCACGGGGATCCATATAGGGGCCCCAATAAAACTTTTCGCATCAACCGGCCCTCAGCTCCACAGCTCCGACTCGCGCGCCGATTCGAGTTCGAGGAATCGGCGGCCGCGGCGATCCAGAATCCCAAAAACAAACAGCGCAAACGAAGGGCAAAACGTCCTTCCTCCAGCAAAACAAGCACTGGCACGGGTGGTCCATCACCCTGTGAGGGCGCTCTCTGGATGCTCATCACACTCACACACATGCAACACGACGCGCGCACTCACACACGCACACACACACAGACAAACACACACACATACACGTGACCAAGTGCAGCGCGTTGGTCAGAGCGTCGCGACGGGCGCGACGGGCAGAGCGATACTGAACCAAAGGCGGCTCGCGGCTCGCGGTCGCGGCCTAGCGCGGCGGCGTTAGCGTGCGCCTCCCGGCCGTCCCAGCCGCAGCGGCGCCAACGGTCTCCGTCCGTCCGCTAGCCGTCTCTCTCGCGCGGAAACGCCCCGCGAGTGCGAGAGAGACAGAGATCCCTCGGCCGACCGCAGCCAGCCACAGCCAGTCAAAGGCAACGGCGGCGGGGCCGTCGCGGTGCAATTAGCAGTGCCGTCGCCGCCCTTTGCAGCACCGTGACAACAGCCGCTAAATTTCGCCGCCCCACCCCTCCGAAAGCACCCTGCGTACAATTCACGATCCAAACAACCATTTCCACATGGGGCTACGGTTTTCTATTCCCACGACGGAAGAAGCTGTCTGCAATAAACGCCTCGTTGTTCGCAAGGAATACTACGCGAGCCGGTCGAACGTCATTGAGTGAACGGCAGCGTGCGTGGCGTGACGTCACAGCGTCACTGCCGCGATAGCAGGAGCGTCAGCGTCACGGCGTCTCGGCATGTCGTGCCCTGCCCGTCGAACGCGCTCGTGTCACACACTGTCACTCACTCACACAGACACACACACACACACACAGACACACACACACACACACACACACACGTGTGCCACGCGTGACACGGATGCCGCGCACGTGCGAGACACACGGCCGTGCGACACGACGTGTTGCCACACCGCGATAATTTGATGGGCGCCCTGGGCGTCGTCGCGCTCTGTCTCTCTCGCACCCCTACCGGGTCGCCCCCGCGAGTGCGAGAGAGGCAGACAGACAGAGCGACGAAAGCGCAACAGTGCCGCGCAGACACGACGGCATACGTGCACTCTAATGCTAATTGCAACTGCAAGCAGATTATTGCGGTTCGGCGAATTTCGTCCGAGAAAAGCAGGAGAGTGGTGCACTGCAGAAAGGACCGTCACTTCGAACCGCCGCCGGGAAGGGCCAGCTCGCGACCAAAAGTTCCGCAACTTCAGGTGTCCGAATCGGGGAGCGTTACAAGTGCCATGTGCATGGGACAACTTCATTTTAAAATTCCATTCCCATTCCACTTCATGCATGGCCCTTGTCCACTAGCCGCTCACGAGACAGGGACATCTAAAATTGGCGTTGTCGTGGGCACTCCCTGGGCGTCGCTAGGCGCGTCGCTAGGCGCGTGTCGAAGGCGGGCCAATCCCAGGGCTCTCCTTTATGACTGCTTATTTTAGGGCTAACGGCGGGAGGCGGCCAAATGAGCCATCGGGGCCACGCGTCTCGTGACGAGCACTTCGCCACACAGAGACAGAGGGCCACGAGTGCACAGTGCAGGCCACACGGCGATGGCTGGCCGACGTATACAACGATCCACTCGGCCAGCCACATTTCCGCAGAAAACTAGGTCGCAGGGAACCGCAGGCCACTGGTCTGAAAACGGTCTAGAGCCCTTGTCTCGCAGGGGTGGGGCCAGGAGACCGGTGGAGGCGGCCAAAACCCTAGACGCGTTTTGAGCTCCAGAGTCGCTAAATGGGACTCGAACCAAACGTGTGAGCCCACCAATGGATTGCTCTCCGAACGAGGAATCCATTGGTGGGGTCAAACGTTCGGTTCGAGCCCCATTTAGCGACCCTGGAGCTCAAAACGCGTCTAGGGTTTTGGCCGCCTCCACCGGTCTCCTGGCCCACTGTGCTCCGCCGAGCCTGGCCAGTCTCCGGAAGAGGGCGGAGGGGGTGAACAAACGGAAGGGAACGAAGGGCTGGAAGGGGGGGGGGGGGCAATGCGCTAGGGGCAGTGCTAGGGCATGACTAGGCCAGGGCGGACCCCGACTTCCCCCACCCCAGTCCCTGATCCGGCTCGATCCAGAGGCAGCCAGATCCGGGAGGGACTCGGAGTGCACTGCGACCTACACTACGCGTGTCCGCGGTGTCCGTGGTTCTGGCGAGGGGGTAACCACTCGCGTAATACCCTGTACACAAAAACCGTGTATTACGCGTAATACACGTGGTCGTAATACCTTTTTCGGGTCAAATGTGCCAAATTTTTGCATTTTAAGGCCGTAATACACGTGTAATACCTCCGTAATACAGCGTAATACCGAGTAGTCTGTACACGATTTCTTGAAGTGTTTACCCCCTCGGGTTCTGGCGCCCGAAACCCGGTCGCCCCCAGAGCCCAACCGTAAAACCACGGCGAGGCGGTCCCGGTATGCAGGTCCGCCTGGTTCTAACCCGACTCCTTTGACCACAGGCCCGCGACAACTTAGCGCCTATCCGCGAAAGGCGGACAGACACTGAGAAAGAGAAGACAGCGGCATTTGCCTGTCTCTGTCCGAAGACAGGTTCCGAATCCCGCCTCCCGCCCGACGCCTGCAACCGCGACGGCAGGGCGAAAAAGGTAAACAATTGCACGTCGGCTGGGTAAACAAGGCGGACAAGTCCGACAAAAGAAACAAATTGTCGAATGGGGCGAAGAAAAAAAGAAAAAGAAATACTTAACGGCCCCGAAAATGAGAACTCATCCCAAGTGCTCGGGCTGAGGGCTTTCCATCCGAGTCTAGAGAGCCACGCTCCCTTGATGCCGTCCGCCATGGCGCCGGGGCCAAGCCTGAAGTCCGTTCAGTCCGTCAGACCGTTAGACGTCAGGCCAAGTCGCGCGAAAACCAAGTCCGTCCCTGCCACTTCACTTCGCCAAGTGGCGCGTGGCGGGCGGCAGGCCGTCTGCACAACAACACAGTGCTGCCAGCCCTGCCAGGGCGGCGCCGGACAGCCGGACAGGCAGACAGGCACCAGGCGCCAATCACACAAGGTGCGACTCTATCTCTCTTTCTCGTTGACAAAGAAAAGATCAAAAGAAACTCACATAAACAAAAGGGGGGGGGGAGAAAAATCACATTATTTCTCTTGATAGAAGATTAATCATGAAGGGGTTCATTTTCACTGAGTGCTGAAAGATGTGACGGAGCAGATTTGAGATGGAAGCTCACCTTAGATGGCCTGAATGACAAGGAGGATGTTGCTCAAGCAAGTATTCAATGCCTTCTTCTGATTCTTGCAAGCAGGAATGTCAATAAACGAAGAACGGAAAATACTTGGAGTACACCTGAAATACAGAACATGCCATACATATGAGATAAAATGATCTGCTCAACTAAGAGACAGCAGAAAAATGATTGCCGCTCGAGTTTGGCCTAAAGATTCTTGAACTGCATTTGGTCAAAAGACCGCACACTTTCAACACTAGAGCAGTGACATAAATTAATGATCGTTGTTAGCCCTTGTTAATTTGGGTAATCTCAACAAATACTGTGATTAACATTAGCACCTCAACTAATACTGATGTGAATCAGAGATTGAATGAAAATGGTGCTGTTTCATTCAGGAAATGGACAATGGAAAGGGTTATCTGAGCTGTGTCAGGTCATGTCAAATTAGACCCATACGAAAAGGAATCGAGGAACCGATAGTGACAGCTGAGCTTGAATAACAGTCTGAGCAGTGGCAGGAATACAAACCTTCTACAATCTAAACTAGGCTAGGCTAGGACTGGTCGAAAGACGCTGCAATGTTTCGGAGGTAAAGTCACAAGTTCATTGATCTGTGGAAGGAAGTTCTCCAGTGGCCTTTGAGTCATACTTTGAGAGGCTATCAAAGTGTCATTTCTATTAAATGTCTAAAAGGACAAATCATATTCATCACAAAGAGGAAAATATTTTAAACAACTCTAGCTACACACACAGCGTTCACTTCAGCAGACGACGGTTATTGTTAGTCAATTGTCGGAATATCAAACTTGGGAAAATGAAAATTACCAGCTCCTCGAAGAGGTCGTCATTAGAATGAGTGATTACGCTGTGGCCGTAATGAAATTACCCCTCACTAAAAATCTGCAGTTTTAAAACTATTTTTCCCAAATCGTTTCTACTTAAACGTTAAAATTTGGCCAAATATCATAGTTCAGTTTGTTCCAACGGGACATTTTTACGGACGGCGTTGGTAACGGTATAGTGTATTTCATAGATATGAGAAATTCATGTGGTGGTTTTGGTTATTTGCCATGACTGTGCTTCCGTTCTGTTAAAACTGCAGACACCACGAAATTAATTCTAGACCAATTGATGGCCTGCTTTATTCAATTCAAGGGATATATCAATGTCTGCCAGTTTTCTGTGTTTTGAAACAAAGGTACGCAACGTATTTCTCATATCTCGTGGCATCTGTTTTGATGACGAACTATACATGAGTCATTTTGTCCGGGAACACCCGTTGCCCCCGCCCCGCCTCTCGTCTCGACAGTGGTCGCGTTTTCTTCTCTGTCACTTTCAAGACATTGCGCAACAACATTTAGTGTCCAATTTTCCTGTGGAATTGCCTTAGTACGTCTCGCCCCTCTATATTTGGGCGCTCCTAGTGGCCTTGCGTCAGTGAGTGTTCTCGTGTTTTGAGTTATTGTGAACCTCTGTCGTATCTGTTCCTCGCAGCTAGTGGCAGTTCTAGTCATTTCTAGGCTACGCTGCGTTACGTCTGCTGCCGAGCTCTAGTGTTGACAAGTATTGAAGATCTGCAACATGTCTACTTGGCAACAAGCACCAGCGGGATACCCCCCCTATCCTGATCAAGGTTCATGACATTTTCATTTTCTCACTTTATTCGTATGACCAAAATGTCCAAGATGGCCAAACCCGCGCAGTCTGCGTCCATGTCACCCTTGTAATGGCACTGCTGGTGATTGTCTTCAAAGGATGGCTTGTTCTACAGTGACCCCTAGCTGGATGCATTAGGCATTGACTGCACGAATCATGTTTTGTATTTTCTCACCACAAGGCATCTCCCTCACTCTTTTGAGGTTATTGTTTCAGTAGTTGGCCAGTCAACAATAATCAGTTTGCTGGGATGTCCTGTCAAGGAAACAATATTTTATGCATTACGTAATACATTTTACCGCTTTAAAACCCTGTTTCAGCTATTGCATTTGCTTTGCACCAGGCTTTTGTATACTTCCATGTAGTGGCATAATTTATTTGTCTACCACCTTGTTAGTCTGTTTATTTTTATCCATGCATTGAAAATAATTATTGTAGTAATAATTACAATTTATTTTATCACATTTTATATGACCTATTAAAGCATTACTAGCTTCAATGCCAGTCCTTAGCATCATTGCGGGAAGACCCATTTGCTGAATCCATGTACTTAAGTAATTCTGTAATATATTGCTCCACACTTTTAACATTGTCATTAAGAAGCTAAGTTCTCTGTAGTCCACCACACCCATACCCTTCTTCATTTGGATCACATGGAAACTGTTATCTTATCTGCCACCTCACTCTTTAACAGCAGATTGGTTTTTTACCTGTTTCGATATGCGTTACAGATCCCAACAAACAGTACTACGGACAGCCAGCTCCTCCACCAGGCTACCCACCCCAGGCTCCGTACAACCCTGCGTACCCTCCAGTGCAGCCCCAGCCACCCCCAGCGTACGCAGGATTTGTAGCACCACCTGGTGTTCCCCCTTACGGTCCGGGTCCAACCCCTCCTCAAACCAACATGTACGGAGGAACCGGAGGCTATGCGGAGGATCCCTTGCAGGGGGATCCTTACAGTTTCAGTGACCAGAGTATCCGTCGTGGCTTCATCAGGTATGTAATTGAACCTCCTCTTTTGAATTCTGTCTAATTAATTGCTGCATCTGACCATTTGTTTTGAAATTGCAGGAAAGTCTACAGCATTCTTATGGCTCAGCTTGTGGTAACCACAAGCATCATCGCAATTTTCACGTACCATGAGCCCACTAAGACTTACGTTCGTCAAAATAAAGCTGTGTTTTGGTCATCATTTGGCGTGATGTTTGCTTGTCTCATATGTATGGCATGCTGCACCTCTGTCCGCCGCAAGGCTCCAATGAACTTCATCTTCCTTGGAATATTTACGCTCGCTGAGAGTTTCATGCTTGGCTGCGCTGCCTCTTCATTCAGATCAGAGGAGGTAAGGTTTTACTTTACAACAGAGTTAAATTGTGACATTATTAGTGGAAAATCCTAGCACATTGATCTTTTTAAATTTCAGGTTGTGATGGCTGCAGGGTTTACTGCTGTTGTGTGCTTTGCACTTACCATCTTTGCTCTTCAAACCAAGTGGGACTTCACTGTCCTTGGTGGAGCATTGTTTGCCGGTGTCATCATTCTTTTGATCTTTGGCATTGTGGTGGCCTTCATTCCTGGCAAGGCAGCAACGATTGCATATGCATCTTGTGGTGCCCTCTTGTTCTCGGTGAGTGGGAGGGTGCAATCCAGATTCTCCATCCTTAGCAGACAATGGTCTTGGATTTTGGGTGGGTTGTAGAAACCTTATGCCACAATCAGTACTAATTGCTTTTTCTGTCCACAGGTGTACCTCATATATGACACTCAGATGATGATGGGTGGAAAGCATAAGTACAGTATATCTCCGGAGGAGTATATTTTTGCTGCTCTCAATCTGTATCTTGACATCATCAACATCTTCATCTACATATTGAGCATCATTGGAGCGTCTCGCGACTGAATTCATACCAAAGCCCTTTTCTGACTGCACCAGTGGAGTAGAGGAATGGAGAAGTAAGTTCCGTTTGTTCCTTTATTACAACTTTTGTTTTGCCTTTATATGTGATAATATAAGAAGATGAATCTTCTGTAAACGTAGCAATTAATCCTCTGTGTAGTATGCAAAACGTGTTCACCAAGGACAGAAAGTAAAACTGACTGTTTTAATCAGATACAGTTGTTTAGTTTATTTCTTTTGCCATGTAAAATGCAACTCTTAATCAAATTCAGTCTTTGTCCAAGTGCACATTTTAGGTACTGATACGTAAAGGCCGCTAGATGAATTGTATTGTTAAAAATTTTCCACACTGAGCCCCCAGGACATTTCTGTACAATGACTCATCTTGGGAGTGTGTGTTGGCTTATGTACTATAATTGTTTTTCAATTGTGTACAAGCCCTGGAGGCACTGGAATAGGCTTATTTTAATTTTGGAATGAAGATAGGCCATTTTAGTGGAAATGTCTTGGGCTGTTATTGTTGAAGATGCTGTGATTTATGAACTGATATTGACCCTTGGTACCTGGTGCAGTTATATTTAGGTTTCTATGACTAGTCTGTTCAAACAAATTTGATTTCACTTTGAACGTCAGGTAAAATTCTGATCCAGCATTTATTAGTATTAGTATGTTCGTTTCACCTTATTTTGGGCTTTATGAAATGTAACACAACTTTATGTGGGACTTTCAAAAAATGAATAAAATTATTTCTCTCATTTTCAAGCTAATTGACTCCCATTCAATGTGTTGCTTGATTACAAGTTTGAGTATTAAGCTATCTATTGTATAAATATAATCTTTTCGTCCATTAATTGCAGCAGCTATAAGGAAACTAAAATATTTTGCTTAACTTGGCATTCATTTCCATTTTCACTAGTTTATGTATTCTGACCCTGTTAATGTAGGTATTCTATATTGTCATAATTTCTTTATGTGTGGTTAGGCTCTTAATTTAAAACCTATAAAGTTGGTCAAAATTTTTCGTTCTCATTTTCATTTACTAGTATTTGAACCCTCTTCTAGTAGATTTCATATCATCTCTCATATTCTCTAAGGTGTGTCTGAGGGGGACTGTTTTATATGTTAGCGTTTTTTGTGTGAGGTTTTTCTCAGGCTATTATGTGCTGGTACACTTTTACCCTATGCTAACATTCATTTGTATCACAAAGGGATACTTGATTGTTATTTTGAACTTTGATGACAGCCCATTTATCGTGGATCAGTTAGGCTATAACCATACAAGTATGGTAACTTTTCATTCATTCTATTACAATGAACCACTCGTTTTAATTGTGTTAAGTGTCAGTGTCATTGTTAAGTTATTTCTGCAAGTGCCCTATTTATATTATTACTATTACTGTATTCTTATTATTCGTTGAAAATCATTCCCACTTGAGTTCTTAAGAGACTCTTAACAACTCTGGTTTCTGCAATATAAGGCTCAATGTACACATGGAATGGCAGTTTGAATGTTTTAGATTAGAAATTATTGCATTAAGCTTTTTTTTTTGTTCCAAGTTGGGTGATAAACTCTGGAAAATTGAAGACAGTGCATAAAAATTACAATGATTTTTTTTCTCACAATGATTGCTTTTTGTTTAGGTATTTGTTAAGTTTTGTTTTGTGTGCAAGGCTGCTCACTGTGTTAAAATTTTCTCAAGGCTCTTGGTTGGAAAGTGCATTAAGGTGTAAGCTGTAGCCTCCACAATTTACACCCACTGCAATATTGCTTGAGAGTCTATTTTGAAAGCAGCCTCAACCAACCTGGCTGGTTTTTTTGTAACTTATGGCTACTGTGAATGTTTATTCTATGGCATATTAAATCTTATTGATGAAACAATCTTGTAAATTTTCTAGAGTGTCTTCCTGTTTCACTGAGAGGACTTCATAGGACTGGGACCAATTTGGCTCAATTTGACAGAAATGTAGGTGGTAGCTGGTTAAAAATACAAACATCTAACATTAAAGAAAGATTTATTGAAAGAATTTTGCACATTAATCAACATTTTAAAAAATAACTTTTGCAAGCAGATAGTTAACATGATGAAGTGAAATATAAGCTCCACTTAACTGAGCCACTTATTACTGAAGGAACTTGCAGAGGTCTTTAAGTCAAGTAGCAAAACACAAAAATGTTTCTTATGAAACAGTTACATCACAACCGTAAGTTAGACATGCTTTTCCCATTTTATGTATATTCAAGGCAGCTTGCACAGTTGGATTACATAACGCTCCATACTGGGTCTAATCAAAACTCAACAACAAAGTAAAAAGGGAAATAAAGAAATAATAGTCAATCTGTTGGGTTGCTTGGCAGGCACTCAAGTCCGAGTTGAGTTTAAGATGACAACAACTTCTACCTGTATGGTTAAGCTCTAAAATGTAATGCAATGTACATCCCCCCATATAGTATATCACGATAACTGCACATAAATTGATTTAAAACCAGCAAAGGTTTTACATTCAAAGCTATTCCTATATTTATAATTGTTTAGCCTCTGAATTGCTCAGCGAATTGATCTAGGAAGAAGTTCAGAAGCAAGACTCCAATGTAGTAACATTAAGATCACTGGTACATCACAGTATCAAGTAAAGATAGCAGCTCAATACAGAAGAATGCTAACCTAAATATCATCACTCAATTATTTTCTACATATGTACAGGCTCGATTGATGAGATCTATTATTTTAGTTTTGGCTATTTTCCACTTCCATCCCCACTATACATGCCCGGAGTATCCTGCTAGTGGAACCTGCACTGTAAAATGAGCGTAGATCAGGGAATCACCAGATAAGCATTGTGGTGAGTCAGTTTCGAGGGTGGTCGGAGGATTTCCGTATTGCCTGAGGGAGATGGGTGCGTGGAGTGCGTCTCCACGAGGGTGCCGCTCTTGATGCGCGGCAGGCACGTTCGGGGACGAGGACAAGGCAACGAGGGAGTGGAGCAGAGTCAGTCTTGGTGTCGCTGTCGCTTTCGCGGTGTGCCACGCCGCGGTCTGGCGGTGGCATCCTCGCAGACTACATCCGGTCCGCCTTCCTGCTCGCCGGGTTGGAGGGCGAGGTCGCACTGGGGTACAGTCCGAGCTTCACTCCGATCTCCTTGGGCTGCCGGGTGGCGGTTCTGGACGGGAACGGGTTGAAGGTCACGGGGCTCTTGAGGCTGGCGGACGCCGCGTCCGGCGACTGGTCTCCCTTCCGCCGGCGCCCGGACGACCCGGACGACCTCCCCGACGGGCTGCCCGCGGGGCTGGAGGGCGACGCGGGGGACACGAGGCCCTTGTGGTGCGCCACGTCGCGCGGCGCGTCGCGGGGACCCTCGCGCGGCAGGGACGGCGTCTGCACCGGCAGCGTGGTGGGCGCGTCCAGGGCCACCGGTGCGGCCGCGAGGACCGTCGTCGGGGACCTGGCTTCCCGCCTGCCGCGGAGGGGCAGGTACGACGGCGTCGTCGCGGCCGCCGCGGCCGCCGCTTCCGGCGTGCTCGGGGGACTCAGCTCCGGCCGCCACTTCTTGGGCTGCCCGGAGAGCTCGGCCTGGCCCTGGCCCCGGAGGATGCCGCTGGTTCCGGGCAGAGGCTGCAGCGGCGAGATCGGCAGCGGCGACATCTCCGGGAACTTGTACCGCGGCTTGGCGGTTCGCGACGACGCCTCTGCCTCGGCCTCCACCGAGGGCTCCACGCTGTCCAAAATGAGCTGCAGCCTCTCCGTGGGCTTGCCTGGCCTCCTGGCCGAGGCCGACCACCGCGTCTCGTCCAAGGACGATTGCTTGAGCAAGTCGGCCGACAGGCGGGCCTGGGGGACGTCCTGCGACACCGTCCGACTGAGCCGCGGGCTGCCCGGGGCGTGGGTCGAGGCCGACGCGGGTGCTCCAGAGGCCTCCGACGCGGTGCTGGAGAGGGCCAACAAGGGCACGTCCTTGGACGCGACTGAAGCGAAGGTTGCCGTGAACGATGCGGCCTGCGGAGCTTTCGTCAGCGAGGTGTTCAAGGCCGAGGCGTCTGAGGTTTTTGACACGCTGCTATCTGGCGCCGACGTTGAACAGTCTGCAGTCGTGGGTGCAGCGGAGGAAGTGAAGGTTGACGTGAACGATGTCGTCGTTAAAGTGTCCAAGGCCGAGGCGCTGGAGGGTTCCGTCGTGCTGCTTCGCTGTATCGAAGACGAAAAGTCTGCCGTGGTGGGTACGGTGGTTGAGGTGGCAGCAGGGACTGAGGCCCCGAGGAAGGCGGTGAAACTCGCTTCTGCGAGGTCCGAGGTACTCGTCGCGGGGTCCGAGACCGTCGACGCGGAGGGCAGTGTCGACGGGGTGGTGTCCGCCTCGGTTGCCAGGGTGACCAGGTCCCCGCAGGGGGTTTCCACGGATGAGGCGGCGAGAGGGGTGTTGGGCACCGAGGGCCCGGGTGAGGTTGGCGAGGCCGCGGGCAAGGCCTCCTCCACGGACTCCAGCAGCGTCACCGGCGGCCGCTTGTGCACGGGGCTGGGCGACGCGAAGAGGTCCGGCGGCTCGCTCCTCTCCGGAAGCGTGAGGGAGCGGCCGCCGCTCTGCCACGCCGTGATCCGCTGCAGGATCTCCGAGTTCTCGCGGATGATCCTGGAGGCCCTCTCGCTGTTCTGGCGGTCCAGGCGGCGCCTGCTGCTGGCCGTGACGCCCTCCACGTCGCCGAAGGCACTCCGCGCGCGCAGCGGGTCCAGCGGGTGCAGCGGGCCCTCCTCCTCCTCCTCGTCGAGCAGCTCGCTGAGGTCCAGCTCCAGCGCGCTCGACTTGAGCGACGCCGCGCTCGCCTCCTCGAAGCTACCCTCCAGCAGCGAGCCCTCCCGGCCGAACAGCCGCTCCATGAGTCGCTGCCGGTTCTCCCGCGAGCTGGTGGACGTCGGAGAGGAGCAGTCCCTGGAGTCCCTGGAGGCGGCGTCCTCGGACGGCGTCCTGGACAGCCCGTGCTCCAGGTGCTCCATGATGTGGCGCAGCTTCTCCGTCACCGAGGCCACCACCCTCTCCGGCGAGGCCTGGTCGTCGTCGGCCGGAGGCGCCAACTGCGCGGCGTCGGCGGTCCCCGCGGTCCCCGCGGTCCCCGCCAAGCGCAGCGCCTGCTCCTCCTCGCGAAGCCGTGCCAGCAGCTCCATGACGTCCTCCTCGGGGTCCGGGTCGTCGCCCTGGTCGTCGCCCTGCCTCGAGTCCCACTGCAGAAGGTCCTGGTCCTGGTTGACGGCAGCGCTCGCTTCCACCTGCACGTCCACGATGACGCTCTCGTCCACGGCAGCGACGCACGTCTTCGTTTCCACGACGGCGTCCCCGGCCACGTCCACCAGGATGGCGTCGGGCGGCGCCGTGTCCGCGGCCTTGACGGCGTGCTTCCCCTTGGCCTTGCCCTCCTTGGTGGCGGCCGGCGGCTTGGCGTCCCACTCGAGGTCGCCGTGGTCCTCCTCCGGCTCGCTGGGGTGGCCGGGGTCGTCGCACAGCTCGGTGGACGTGCTGCTGCCGCTGCTGCTGCGCTGGCTGTCAGCGCTTCCAGACCGCGAGCGCGGCGAGCGCGGCGAGCGCGGCCGGCTGGGCGGCAAGGCCACGGCACCTGAGGAAAAAGGACATTGATCATTCCAGCGAGCAGAGCGTTCAACCGCCGCGCCGCCACGCCGCCACGCCACTGCGAGACGAGATTGCTTCCTGCGCTGCCGGCCCTTTTCATTTCCATCCCCGAAAAAAAAAACAAGAAGAGTCGCTCTGCCATTCGTCAAACGCTGCGGCGGCCAGCCAAGATGACGTCATCTGCGCGCTGGTCCGTGGCGTTTGACAGCACCTACGTATAGGCTGATTCCGAAGGAGTCGGCTTTCGCCACCGTGTGCCCCTCGCACCCCAACGGGACGCCTGACGGGTGCGACAGAGACAGAGCGACGAAGCGACTGTCCGGAATCGGGTTACAAAGCCGCGTGCCGCGCGCGCCGCGTCGCGGCGTTTGCCCCAAGTTGTGATTGACTTACCGTCTGCCACCGACTTTCTCCGCTTGTCCTCGTCCTTCCAGTGGAGCGTCTCCACGGCCTTGGGCCGTACGGCGGGCCGTCCGGCGGGCTGTCCGGCGGGCTGGCCGCCACCTGGAAACAGGAACAGGAACGCCAATCAACGCGACGTAACCGCGTAACCGACAGCCGGTCGGCAGCAAGCGACCTTTTTCTTTCTCTTTTTCCGGTGGCGTGCTTCGCGTTTGCTTTTTTTCTTTCATCAGGCTGCTATTGAGTGACGCGAGACTCGGTCTACGCACGCGTGCGGGTGCTTTGAGAGGCTTCGGCAGAGCATGCGTTGGCAGTTTTAAAGTGTAGCGGGTCGAAGCGTGTGGGGTCGAAGCGCCTGCGGGACGCAGGGTAGGCCAGCCCGCGGGACACGAGCGTTCGGCGGGCTGGCCCACCCGCAGCTTCACAGGCGCTTCCATCTGGACCGTGAGCACAGAGACATGCGGCATGCGGTATCCAACGCGACTTACGCTTGGCGGCGGGGGCGGGGGCGGGGGCGGAGGGCCTGGGGGCGGGCGCCACGGGCGGCGGCACGGCCCCCTTGGGCGGGGGCAGGCGGCGGCCCTTGGCGCTGCGGAGGGCGGGCTTGCCGATCAGCAGGTGGTTCATGGCGACGGCCGGCGCGCTGAGCGTGGCGCCGACGCCGCCCCCGAGGCCCTGGAGGCCGCCGCACGCCGCCGTCACGATGATGTGGGCCTGGCGCTGGCGCTCGCGCAGGCGGCAGTACTGCTGCTTCAGCATGGACACGTCCAGCGAGAGGCGCTCCTTCTCCACGGCGAGCGGCCCGGTGCCGCCCGCGCCGCCCGCGCCGCCCGCGCCGCCCGCGCCCGCCCCGGAGGAGCCCGGCCCGCCGCCGAAGCCCGAGCCCCGGAGGCCTCCGCCCGCGCCCGCCTGCACTGACCCTGCAATAAACATTTTTAAAATGTTCAATGTATTTTTTTCAGCTTTTTATTTTAAAACTTAATTTTTCGTATGTTTTTCGATTTTTTTTTCGGTGTAGTGTACACTCCGTCGTTTCCCGCCCTTTTCTCGACGTTCGGCCTCGGCGCCGCGACACCGGAAGTAGGCCGCTCACCTCTCCTCCGCGGCGACCGGAAGAGGTCGGCGATGCCGAAGGCCGCCGCCACGGCGATCCTCTCGTCGTCGTCCTGGTCCGAGTTGTCGCCCGAGTCCCCCGAGTCGTCCTCCGTGTAGAAGAGGCGCAGGCCGCGCTTCAGCCCCGACGACACGGTGCTGGTCCACGGCGTGATGTTGTACATGTACTTGTCGCGCAGCGCGGCCAGCTCGGGGCACTGCATCGCCACCACCGTCTGCAACAGGTTTCCGGCTCACTTCCGGTTTCAGATCCACTTCCGGTTTCCGGTGCAATCCATTTCCGGTTTACGGTGTGGCCAGCTTCCGGTTTCCGGTGTGACCAGCTTCCGGTTCCGGTGTGACCAGCTTCCGGTTCCGGTGTGACCAGCTTCCGGTTCCGGTGTGCTCCACTTCCGGTTTCCGATGCGACCCGTTTTCGGCGACTCTCACCTTCATCAGGCGGTTCGAGTCCATGTGGTTGAACTCGAGGATCTCTCTGGTCAGGACGCCCATGATGCTGTAGAACTCGTCGGCGCTGCTCACCGCCATGATTCGCCTGTAATGAATGAAAGAATAAACTTTTGGCTTTGGCGGCAACAATTGTTGTTCTTTTCCTTTTGTCTCAAACTTCCTTCCTCTTTTTTTTTTTGAAAGGGAGGGAGGGGGCGTGGTCCTGAAAGCCCATTGCCAAAGCAGATCCTTTGCAGAGCAGAGCCAGAGTCGAGGCCAGAGTACGCGCATGAAGCGACGCAAACGAGGTGAACGATGTGCGGACTCACTCCGCCAGGTGGTCCCAGATGGCGAGCGCCGTGCGGAGCAGAATTTGGTTTCCCTCGAGGAAGATGAGGTCCCAGACGCGGAGCACGGTGGGCTGGGGCAGGCAGTTGCAGAACAGCGTGAGGAACCACTGCATGGTGAACACGTTGGTGAGCGGCGGCTCGTAGCTCGTCCCTGGAAAAAAGAGTTGAAAACAAATGAATTTATTCCGACTCTTTAGGCGATCGGGTTCGACTCGCTGATCACAGCGCCGCGAATAGCGAATGCACTCAGTTCAAAGAGGTCTAAAAGGGCGAGCTGGGCGCTCGGCGGGGTGCGTATCGATGTAGCCTCGCTCCGGCCGGCCCCCGCCGCCCCGCTCCACTCGTCATGTGAGTGCTGAGTGCGCGGCCAGCGGCAATCGGCGGGAACCCTACGCGGAGGGAAAAGAACAACTTTCCACCCAGCGCGCCCAGGAATATATCCGCGTTGTTTCCGGATCGGTCATTTCCCTGTCGTTAGCTCCTCGCTGTTGTCACGTGAAACAATTCACGAGGAAAACAGAGTCCGGCTTCAAACGGACGACACCGGAGGCTACGGCGACGGAGTGTGCCAGGCCTATTTCGGGGCCGACCAGTGGCGCGGCTGTATAGTCCGATTCCGCAAACGGCGCCTCGTCGCTCTGTCTCTCTCGCTCCGCAGCGGAGCGCCCCACGGGAGCGAGAGAGACACGGCGGTGTTTTATTTTTAGCGCGGTAAGAGCGCGCGTGAACGGAGCACGGACTGGCCGGGCTGGCGGCGCTGGCAGGCAGCCGCGTTCCGGTGGTGCCGGAAAGGGGAAGGGGGGGGGGGGAGCTCGACGAGACAGCACATGACATTTACCAGCTCAAAGTTGTCAACATGGACTGCCAGTGTGCCAGGAAGCGCGCCGCCGTGGCGCACCTGATGCCTCGCCGCCACCATCGATAAACGCAAAAAGAAAAAGAAAAAAAAAACAACGCGAAAGGCAACAACGACGGCCCACTCTGGCGCGCGCTGATGGGACAGCCGGCCAATTTGTGAAACGAAAACGATAAAATGTCTGCGTCTGACGCGATAAAACTCATAAACTCATCAGCGTGACATGTGTCGTGGCTCGGTGCCCCCCGCAAAGGGCGGCGGAAATTTCGGCCCAGGTTTCTCTGTCCCTTACCAGTGCTGTCCCCGGCGTCCATCTGGAGGTGCTCGAGGTGACGGGACAGCTGGGGCAGTCGCAGACGCAGCAGGTCCCTGAAGACCGCCATGTCCACGGACAGCCCGCGCAGGTTGTTGGCGAAGTAGCTCTCGGGCAGCACCCCCTCGATTAGGTAGATCATCACCTGGAGGAGAGAAAGCGAGAGAGAAAGAAAAGCTTTAGCCTCTGGCTGGTAACGAGCTCAACAAAAAAAAGGAAACCCTACAAAAAAATCGTCATCGTTCTTGTGCGGTGGCGCGCTGACGCATTTTCCGGCTCAGAAGACTGAAAACGCGACCTGGCCCCTCCCGGCCATCCTCTTTGATGTCTTTGACTTTTTAACTTCATTTAAACCGCTCCTTAAGACCGCGTCACAGACGCAACAGAGCCCCTCTCACCCCGGGAATGGCGGGGGCCATTCAAAACTCACAATGATACCATGATGACACGCCCCGATGGCGGCAACGCGGCGGCGCCTTCTCGTGCCGCGAATTAGCACGCTAATTGAAGCTGGCAGTTAAATGGGATTACATTAACAACTCTCTCTGAAACACGCACGCTCACTCGCCTACACATATGTACAGGTGTACGACAGCGTGCGTCAGCGTTCCACAGCGGGTCAGAGGACCGGTGGAGGCGGCCAAAACTCTAGACGCCTTTTGAGCTCCAGAGTCGCTAAACAGGACTTGAACCGAACGTGTGACCCCATCAATGGATTCCTCGTTCGGAGAGCAATCCATTGGTGGGGTCACACGTTCGGTTCGAGTCCCATTTAGCGACTCTGCAGCTAAAAACGCGTCCGGCATTTTTGACCGCCTCCCCCAGCGAGCGCCTGCGAGGTCAGCCTAGGCAACACGCTGGACCTCCACGTCCGGCGGGCTGGCCTAACCTGTTGTCGACGGGGGCTCTGGCTCCGGCCTCGCGGAGCAGAACATGACCCAGCGTAGGTTAGGCCCTAACCTAACCTAACCTCACCCAACCTAACCTAACCTCACCCAACCCAACCCAACCTAACCTAACCTGAACGGGGCTCACCTTGACGGAGTCCGGCTCGTTGCGGTCCATGACCTGCAGGATGAGGGCGGCCAGCATGTTGAAGCCCTGGCAGTAGCCCACCGCCTTGTTCCAGCGCGCGTACGCCAGCAGCACGCGCTTCAGCACCGCCTGGTTGCTCTGGCCGCAGAACATGCTGCAGCCGGTGCGGTGTAGGTCCTGCAATTAAGGCCGCCAACATTAAAGAAGAGGAAGGGAAAAAAACACGTGCAAGTTTTTAATTATTTCTTTTTGTTTCGAGAATTTTTAAAATTTTGACCAACTTTACGGCGGCACTGGTCTGATTTCTACAGAACTGTCACCGTTTCAACCAACTTCGTGGCTACACTGCTCCTCAACCGAGGTTTTTTTCTCCCCAATATTCACGTAAAATCACAAGCTCTCTCTCTGTTTGGACTTGTGCATTCGCATTTAATAGTATTATTGCTATTCATAACATTCATAGATACTCATATTCGCCGTACCCCAAAAAATAGCGAGAGACAACCCCCTCGACTGTTCGGAATTGGGAATGAGTGGCTGCTGGTTAGGTTGTTGTTGTTGTTGCTGCTGGTGGTGTTGTTGTCTCACCAGGCGTGACACGTAGTATTGTTATCCGCACCCCCGGGCCCTGCAAAGGGATTCCCTTTGCCGTGACAGGGCGACGGTGCCGCCACTGTGCGGTCCGGGCCCCTTGACGCCTGTGGCCTCATTACCAACTCGTCCCTTCGTCCTTCGTCGCTCCATCCCTTCCGTCCCGTCTTGGCCCCGTGCCGCTGCACCACAATGCAGCCCCCCCCCCTCGCACTGCAGGCCCTGCCACTCCACTAAAAGGCGTCGCTCGGCCTAGGAGCATGCTAGGAGACATATATTGATCTACGCCTCGCTGCCCGGCCTAGGGCCAGGCCTGTGTTGCCAACGCACGAGTAGGCGAAAAATTCCGCACTCGTGTCCGAAAGGGTTGCCAAACAACCCCCTCAGCTCAGCGCATTATCCGAACTTTGCTCTCGAGAAGTTGCCTGGCGGGCGGGCGGAGGTTGGCAACCCTTTCGACACGAGTGCATCGCCGGAATTTTTGGCCCCCTTATGTGGCAGCACTGGCACCTCGAAGCCGGGGCGAGGAGGAGCAGGCCCCGTAATAGCTCCGTCGTGAGGCCTGATGGCGAGCCTGATGGGCTACAGGGGGCCATTTGCAGGGCTTCGGCTTTCGCACCTGATGCCCTGTCGCGAGCTTACTTTACGCTGCTGATCGAAAAGTGCCCTTATCATGCTCATCGAAGGAAAAGGGAGAAAAAATCAGAAAAAAGTAAATCCTGGGCATTATTTGGCCTTTCACAAGCTTTCTTCTCAAAAAATGCAAACACCGAAAACAAAAACCGTCAAAAACAACAACAAATCGTGGATTTCTTTTTAAAAACGATTTTTAAAAATATTCCTTACAGTGTCGTGTGTGACTCACCTTGACAATCTGCACGCCCAGCTCGTCGTCGTCCGGGTTGCTCCACTCGCTGAAACAAAGCCGCTCCGCCTCGGCCCAGTCCACCCCGCGGCGCTGCAGGTGCTTGTCGGCCAGCGTGAGCCACAGCTGCGGTAGACGGGCCAGACAGGCGGACACACACTCGTCAGACAGAGACAGAAGACAGGCGGACACACACTCGTCAGACAGAGACAGAAGGCAACGGCGCGCTCCCCTCGGCGGGAAAGAGAGAGGCGATGGCTTTCCCGGAGGCGGACCTGATCTGCATACTTCGGCGCCGCCACAAGCCGCAACACAGGCCACGCTGCGTGCCAGCGGGAGGGGCTTGCGAGCGGGAGAGAGAGAGAGAGAGAGAGAGAGAGAGAGAGAGAGAGAGAGAGAGAGAGGGGGGGGGAGAGAGAGAGATGGCGGTGTTGCACAATGAGTACCCGAGCCGGAGTGTACGCGCCACACACACACACTCCGGCGGTGCGATCGCGCTTTCCGAATTCATGACGTCATCTATAATTCGCGCCAGTCGAGTCGTGCGCTTATTATTTTTGTAACTATGAATTCGAAGTGCGACGTCGGCAACAGCAGGACAAGGCAGATGCACACCGACAACTTGTGTCGCCAGACAGCAGACCATTACGGCCCCCCCCCCCTCTCTCTCACTGAGGGCCCCCCTGTAATGAGTGCGAGAGAGACAGCCTGCTGCCTCTGTGGCCGACTGGAGCGGGCGGAGCGTGTGTCTGGCAGGTACGGCAACAGGACAACGCGCTGCCGCCAGAGAGCCTTGGGTCAAACTCGCCGAATGACACACTCGACTCGGAGAGGCAAAGGGAAAGGCAGCCCTGGCGGCCTTGCCTTGTGTGGGGCGGCCGAGTCCCGCGGCATCTGCAATGCTGGAATTTAATTAAGCCCACGGCACCTTCAGCCTTCGGGGCCTTCAGCCCTTCGCTGCTCGAAGGGACTGAGGGACGTCACGGTGGGACCGTGGCTGGGAGGGACCGGTGGGGCGCGGGCCACGCGGGCCGCCGCCGGGGGAGCACAGCACAAAAATTCCCACACCGACCATTCCGAGACGAGGCAGAGCAGGGCGTGGGGGTGGGGAGAGAAGGGAGTCTGAACGGGCCCTGGCATTATTTATGACAAATGTGCCCGAAGCAGTGTGAGGACGGGTGGACGGACGGACGGACGGACGGACAGACAGACAGACAGACAGACAGACAGACAGACAGACAGACAGACAGACAGACAGACAGACAGACAGACAGACAGACAGACAGACAGACAGACGAATGGCGCTTTCCGGTGGCGTCGTCCGCACTGTCTGTCTCTCCCGCACTGGTAGGTAGTCCGTCAGGAGCGACAAGGACAGCACTACGAAAAAGCCGCGCGACGGCCTGCGGTGTCTACCGGGAATTTTCAAAAGTAGAATGGTTTCGTCGTATGTCGAAACCGAAGGATTTTGCTTCATGATACAACGCATTTTTTCGCCGATCTTGCAATGCCTTTTGTATGACCAGGGACTTTGTTTTTTTTTTCTTTTTACTGGGTGACTGACGTGTGGAGGCGATCAAACGGTCGCGGAATGCGCGCTGTCTCACCGCCGCCCCGTCCCAATGGAGCCATGTCACATTCGTTTCGAGAGGGCGGGCCCGCCCGGTTCGGCGGATAGGTGTAGCGCGTAACTGGAACCCACTCCCCCGCGACCCCCTCCGCGTCCTTTACTGTGACCCCATCGCCTCCATTACCCCGTTATCGGTCATCCTACCGTCATGATACGCCCGATCGCGGTACTCCCCTATTTTTGCGCTTCGCAACCAACTTTCCTTAACTTTTATAAAAGTGAAAATGACTTAAGATGCCTGCGTCGCGTTTTTTTTTGTTGGCATTTGGACGCGATTTGAGGTTAACTTCGTCAAATGGCGGGAAAATTTCCAGGAATTTCGAAGTGAATCTGGTAGATCATCGCAAGGGTTTCACGGACTTTCAACACCAGAGTTTCACAAATCTTGAGGTATCTCCGACTTTACGTTTGCTTATTTTGAGTTGTTTCTGTTTTTACAGTGTAGAGCGCTTACCGTTCGTCGAAACTCCGGCGGGATGCCGCCCTGCAGCCGCGCCACCATCTGCATGGCGCTCAGCCACTGCGTGTAACCGCTGTCCCCGGGCGCGGGGGCCACGCTGAACCGCAATCCGGCGGCGCCTGCGAAACCACAGAGTCACATTCAGGTTCGCGTTCGCTCCGCCCGAAGGCATAGCCAGAGGCAGCGAAAGGGCGAAAGGCGAAATGAAACGGCAGGGTAATGGAACGCTGCTGTTCTTCGGTTATGGAGGTTCGTTATAGGCACGACGCGGCGTGTCTATAATCACTCCGCTCGTTATAAGCAGCAAGGAAAACAGGAGAACCAGGCAAGGCGGGCCAAAGTCATTACGTCACCAGCTAACTAAAAGGCAGCAGCAAGGGCTACATAATGATACGCAGCAAAAAAAAATCTAAAAAAAGTAAAAAAAAAAGTTTTTTTTTTTAAAAAAATCTTGGAGTGATAAAGGTCAGGTCTGCTATGCGGAGGAGACTCGGCGAATATAGACAGATACGTGACCCACGCATGCGGAGTGCAGTGGGCCGGCAGAGCGAAGCAGATCGCTGCAAATATTAGAACGGCCGCGGAGGCACACACTGTCGCCTGTCCGAGTTTGCACAGGCACGACTCTTGTCGCGCTCCGAGCTCCGCGTTCTGCAGAAGGGACTCGAATCACATGGCGGTACCAGAGGATTGCTCTCGGAACGAGGAAACCACTGGTGCCGCCATGCGTTTGATTCGTTTTGATTCAGTCCTGATTTGAGGGCTGCAGTGCGCTCCGGTGCGCCCTGTGTGTTCGTTCGACCGTCTGCCGGCGGGGCTGTCGGGCGGGGCTGGCGGGCGGGGCCGCGGCGGGGTCAGACTGGTCGGTCAGACCGAACCGCGACTGGAGCGAAAAACACGCCACGCAACCTGTTGCTGGCCGCCTCGTCGTGGGCCAGAAGACCGGCGCAGGCGGCCAAAACCCGAGACGCGTTTTGAGCTCCAGAGTCGCTTAATTGGACGCGAACCGAACGTGTGACCCCACCAATGAATTCCTCGTTCGGAGAGCAGTCCATTGGTGGGTCACACGTTCGGTTCGAGTCCCATTTAGCGACTCTGGAGGCTGCCCCCCCCCCCTCCTTCAGCCACTTTCGCCCATTTCCCCCATTTCACCAGTTTCGCCATCGCGACTGATGAGCAGCAAGCTCATTAAACCACGAGACACGATCTGCTTGCTGGATGCCGCCTCTCCAGAGACCGCCCCACAGAAGTCCCACTACTCTGCTAAAAAGACAAACAAACAACAGCGAATCGTGTTTCGCATTTTCGAGTCGACACTTTGGCGCGTCCTCGGAGCCCTCCTCTGATTGGCCACCGCGGAGCGGGAATGACGTCAGAGCTCGGTCCAAAATAACGACGAGCCTGTTGGGGATGGCGGAGCGTGGCGCTCCCGGACCCATCACTCTCCCGGCAGCATTTATGTTCCTCGGATATCTGGTAAAGAAACTTGGGTACAATCCTTCACCCCCACCCCTCCCCTCCGTCTTCTTGGGACATGAACCGCGGCAGCGCGGCGCAAGTTGTTCGAGGAAACTTTAAAATTCCGCCAAAGACGGCAAAAGGCCAATCACGACTTTCGGCTTATTCAGCGCGCGCCCCCGTCGCCGCTGCTGGGGACACCCCATGCTATTTAGCGATACAGTTCGGAAAATTGGTCGAGCCAATCAATTTACTCGCCGCACGCCAGAGAGTTATTTTAGGTAATGGCGTCCCCTTGCTGTTTCAGAAAATAAAAAAAACTGGAGAACAAACAAAATCCGTTCCGATTTCTGTCCCCGCCCGAGGCGGTGATGGCCACCGCATTTGCCAGTCACTCCTGAAAACGCAATAGCGAGGTGAGCTTGAGGCAGGCTGAATTTTTCATACGTCTGGACCCGGCTAGTTGGCCGAGCCGGCCCCCGGGAGGAAGCCTCGGCAACGCCGACCGGACGGGTGGGGTCCGAAAACGCGGGGCCACCCCCACCCCCTTCCACCTGCTCGCCCGCTGTCTCGCCGTGACACCGCAAAGCGGTGCAAAGCCCTGCCGCCCAAGCCGAGCAGCCAACAGACTGTCCAAGACACAACGCACCGAGTCCCCCCCGGACCTACATTCTAGGTCGTCGCCCAGACCCTTCGTCAGAGTCGCAAGGTCCATAGCGAGCAAATTACTAGTGCCTGGACTTTAGTAGTTTGGAGTTCGTCTACACGAGTCCCTGCACTGGAAACACGATATTGTTTCGATATTGTTTTACCAGTGTGCCACGCGTCCACTCCAGACCGAAACCAATAAATAACCGGCAGTGTAGGTTCGATACGTGGGCAGCACAATGGGCACCGCCCCAATCTGTTGTGATCCCGACATGCAAATGAACCCTCGCCCCCACACTGGCAAAGCCGTGGCCCGCCCCGGCCAAACTGCGATGACCGCACTGTCGGCTGACCTTGGCGACCGAGCTGACGAGCTGACACGCTGACGCGGCGGGGCGGGGTCAGCTCGGAGTGACGCGGTGTCGGCGTGGGCGTGTCCGCGGCGCGTCAGTCACTTCGGACCGCCGCCCGCGCACAGCGTGACAAACTGCCAGCGACGCGTAAAAGTAATAAAAAATAATGGGAGGCACACTGTCACGGCGCGACGCACGCTCATTGCGGTTCGAACCCGAATACGAATGTGGATCCGCGGAGGAGCTGCGCGAGACAACGGTGATGCTAATCAAGCCGGCAGCGTCAATAAGACCAGAGAACGACTGTACACAGTAATAGTGTGCCATCGCGACGGAGCAACAGGCAGAGACCGTGGAGTGCAAGTGTTACTGTCGCGTCACGTCAGGCAGATAGACAGGCAGGCAGACAGACCGACAGTCGGACAGACTGAAAGCGAGTCGGACAGACGGACGGACAGGCTCAGCCTCTGCGCTGATTCATCCCGGGCCGGCTTAGGAGGCCCACGGGGTGAGGTAGTCAAACAGTGTGTGAGGGTGTGTGCGTGTGTGAGGGGGCGGGGAGAGGGGCGTTTGGAAAAGGAGTGAGTGCGAGTGAGAGAGAGAGAGTGCAGGCAAACGCTGGGCGCTGAACAAGGCATCTAGGAGGTCACCGTCATTTCCGCAAGAGACACGCATACGCAATTGTGAGGTGGATATTGTTCCAGGTTATCAGGGGAGAGAAGTCTCATCAACTCTCCCCACGCAAAAATTGTGTGCAAACGCACTCGTAAGGCTTTTCCCCAATGTGGATTCATTGGTAGGTAATTCACTCGAGACGGGGATCGGGAATCCAGCCGAGACGGCGAGCGGCGCCGGCAGCGCGAGGGAAGCGGCAGCGCTCCCACGCAGCGCCCTCTCTCGGCCGCGCCGCGAAGTCACGAACCAGCTGACGCTGCTACGCGCCACGCCGCCACGCCGCGCCACGCGGCCAGCAAAGACGCAAAGACGCTTCTGCGGAATGATTCCGTGAGTCGTCCGTTCTCGTCGCTCGGTCTCTCTCGCACTCACACAGGTGCGAGAGAGACATCGCGAGGGAATGAGGACTTTCTGAATAAGTCTCCGGGGGATGCTGTGGGAACGAATCGTGCGTGGGTGGAGCCTTTCGTCAGTGCCGTGCTTTCGCGTGCCGCGGCCCTTAATGGAATGGTAAACAAAGGGGACGTCCTGTGGCTGGGCGGCTGGCTGGCTGCTGGCTGGCTGCGATAAAAACGGGCGATAAAGGCGCCGCCGCGGGGAGTCGAACACGCGTCCCCTTCATAACTCGCTCCGAACGGATTGACCGCACTGACGTCACGCGGTCCATGCCCAAAATCCGGCGCGTGCTATTCGGTCCGCGGATCCAGGGAACCAAAGTCCGCGACATTCGGCAAGTCTCTCCGCGGGAAATGGGCCTCAAAATGAAGTGTCAGCGGGGGAGCTTTACTAATTACTGTTCTTTGACCTTGACTTTTTGTGAATCGCTGTTCTAAATTAACTTGGTGCCACGTCGCAGCCTATCGTGTCTCCGCCGCACCACTGCGAACCTGTATGCACGCCGGGGGGTTGAGTAAGTGCCCCTCCCCCTTTTTGAAACCAAGCCCTGCCACCCCCTCCTCTTGATAAGGAGGCCCCGTTCCGGCCGGGGGTGTCACCACAGCCACCACAACGCCCACCTTGCGTGAGTGCAGAAAAGCCCTCCGCACTCGCAGCCAGCACGCGCTAGCTGCCGAGCCCGGCGCGCCGGGGATGAGAAATTCAGCGGGATCGATACGCACGCTTCGCACGCCATCGCTCGGCGAGTACTACGCGTGGCGGGTCGTCACACGCCGGTCATCCGGGCCGCGTATGGCGAATTCATGCGCCAGGTAATTACTGGTGGCGTGGGTGGCAACGCGAACTCGGTAGCCGCGTGGTCAAAGCGGTCGATTTCAGACCATTGGAATAAGAGTTCGAATCCTGTATTATTTTCTGTGTTTTTTTTGTGTGTGTGTTTTTTGGTGGGGAGGTGGGGTTTGTGCTCCAAACGAGTCTCTCCCACTGTTACACAATGCCATGTGTATGTTTTTTTTTGTTCTTGGTTTTCGAATTTGATTCTTTTTCAGAGTGTGTTATCTTGACGGTGCGCTCATTCCATCCTCGTTCCCGGTGAGCTCCCCGTAGGGACTCCACAGGCAGGACGCGGGTGTTCCGGTGTTCCCCACAAACCGGCTGCCTTTTCGCCATTTTCAATTTGAAAGCGCGTAACCGCCGCGGCAGCGCACCTTGCATAATGGATGATATCGAGAGGAAGGAGGAGGAGGAAGAGGAGGACGCCGTCAGTGACGCGGCGGCCCGGAGCTTTGTCGTCGCGCGGGGTTTTCATCATTCATCCCGCGCCGCTCCCTGCTCGCCCTGCTCCAGGAGGTAGCTCATCGACACATTCATTGGCCCAGGCCGCGGCCCCAGAACCATGCCTCGTCTCTCTTTCTCTCTGTCGCACCCGAAGGGATGCCCCATGAGTGCGACACAGACAGGCCGACGAAACGAAGCTTCAGAATCACATGCCGCGTCTTCGGACGCAGCCATGCAAACCAGACAAGAACTAAACTAAAGAAGAGGAGGAGCACCACTAGAGCTAGGTCCTACACTACATGGCAAGCTAC